ATACAACAAATGATCTCTTCTTCCCATATCCCATCTCTTATCTATAAACAAATCCTTAAAGCCTCGTTGTTTCATTCCTGATGTCAGCAAACGTTCAAAGGTTACCAGGGATCAGAGTTAAAGATAATCCAGCAAAAGGGTTACCAGAGATAACAACATATCCATTTTAACCTTGATCAGATAAACCAACTTTATATTCTTTCACTAAGGATTGAAGGAAACTCACCTGGTATTTCAGAGTTGTCGATCCAAAGTTTCCTAATAGCTAAAAAGCAGTTAACAAGCAATTTCCAGAAGTGATTAGAAAAGGAAATATACGAACCCAGTGTCCTTAAAGGCGCCACCCGTGGTTTGAGCAAGATAGCTATTCTCTTGTCTCCCAGAGCTCTAAACCCACTGACAATTGCTTTCTTGCAGTTTCTTTGTGAGGAGCAACTGTCTGCAGCTCTTGTGGGCAACCTCTTCTCCTTGTCCGGAGAGGAATTACGAAGAGCCGGTCTACTCACCGGCTCTTTATTCCACCAATCATTGGCTCCGCTTTTTGCGGAGCCATCTTCAGTCTGCCATTTCTTCCCCAGAAGTCAGCAATTAAATCATATTTTCAACAACTTTTGTTGTCTCAATTTCAACCCTCCCAGTGAGGGGTCTGCATTCAGCCTTATGCAGCAAAGCCTAGCAGATTTTTCTTCATTACATAACACCTTAAAGCTTCCATCTCGTTTTCTCCCTTGTTAGGTGATATCTTTAAAACTTAATTGTGTCCCCTTAGCTGCAACTATGCCATGCTTTTTCCCTTCGTGTGTGCTTGTGAAGCAAAGGCTAATGTGGCAGGGACTCATGTGATCCTGTGCTGTGGTTGCAGTGTAAAATTGTATCGTTGTAGTATCAATCTAGGTCTTTTTCAAGCCATGTTTTTCAGACCATAGCTTCTCATCAGCTATGATTAATAGGGCATTGCCAGACTATTCCATGAATTTGTGTTCACCTCTCACCTAATCAGTTATGCTCATCATAGTTATAATTGACCCAGTCTCTTCTGAATCTGTGGTGAAAGAGGATATGGCAGCACTTTAATTTTTAAGGCAATAATGACTGTTAGAAGAAAAGTTATACAGATTGAAGGCTTGATCTCCTCCAAGCACGAGCTAATACCAAAGAGCTTGTTTTAATTGACTTTCACTGAAATAATCCAAAACTACTTTCCAGCTTTGTAATGTTTTCAAATTTCAGTTCTCTCTCAGACTAAGATATCTGCATACATCATCCATACATGAAATAGATCAGACTCTGATGGCTTCTGTATTTTTAATACTGGGAGAGGAACCTTTACAGTGACACCAATGACATCTCACCCTAATAAATATATTTAGTTTACTTAATCCATTTTAGAATGACTTTGAACTGCAGACCACCTGGGTGAAAGAACTGGCCGTACTATTTTATTTTACTTTTTGCTTTTTCTAGCCCTGCCTTCCCCCACCTAGCATATTCCAGATCTGTTGTGAATGCAACTTCCAGAATTCTTAGGAGAATTCCCAAGCTGCAATTCCACAAATCTTCAGAATGTCAAATTAGGGAGGGCTGTTGTATGCCTAGACTAAAGATTTTATAGCTCAAATGTGTGATAGAGATAACAGAGTCTAGTATATTAGGGTTGTTTAGTAGAGTGTTACAGGTCTCGATTACCTTTTATTTCCATATTCTGCATGCTATACATTAAAGGTAATTGATGGTAATAACAAAGAAATATAGTATTTCTAATGCTGATAAAATATACAGATGGGAAGAACAGCATCCACTCTGTCACCCAGTTACTTAAAATCTTTTTTGTTTCTTTTCTAGGGAACATCCCATCTTCTTCATGTTTGTTCAACTGGCCATCATTTCCATCTTTAAGTCTTACCCAACTGTAGGTGATATTGCTCTCTACATGGCCTTCCTCCCTCTCTGGAGCCACCTATATCAGTGTACGTTCTGTATTATTAATAATGTGGGAATTGTGCATAATGGTTCTCATCTTGACAATGAGCCAGAAAAAATATGGAATATCTAGTAGGATATCATGATCTTTCATAACTGGGACCTATGGTTTAAAAGTATTTGGGCCTCAGCCATTTTCTCCATACTTGAGAGCTCTAAAATCTGCTTCCGGTAGCTGGTTTCTCCAGATTTCTTGATACATTTCTGAATAAAGCAAATATAGCAGCCAGCTGTTAATTTCATGAAATAGTGACTCTCATTTCCAACTAATTGGGCAAATTAAAAATGTGAATAGTTTGTTCATGAAAACTGAGCAATGTTTTCTACTCATTTTTCCTTCTTTATCTGAAACTCCTCCATCACATAAGATTTTTCAGAGAATAGTGTGGGGTTTTATGAGTTTATTATATTGATGAATCACCTTGGGAATCTTTTTGTTGCTGTTATAAAATATAAAACTGAAAATAAATAAGTAAATTAAAGTACTTTATCAATGTTAAATATGTATTTTTAATGATCAAGTATTGGCTTAAGTAGCGCATCTTAAAAGGATGGTGGGAAACAGTATTCTATAAAATATTCGACTGTATTTTAGAACAGGAAGAATTCAGTCCAGAATTAGCTTTCCACCCAGCACCCACCCTTATTGTACTCTGATATCCTTTTATTTTGTAGTTTGCACCTGCTTCAGTCCAGGAATTGGAAGCAGGATCTGTGTAGTTGGGAAGTCAGCACAAATAAACCTGTCAAAGTTTTCCTCCCCCGCAGGAATTGTGGTTAATTACTGATTCTAAGAAAGGGATGTCTGTAGCAGCTGCTTCTGGATCCACCCTCTAAATTAGTATCTGCCACCCATTCTAACTAAGATGGGACAAGCCAACAATGCCTTAGTGTATCAGTTAACCAGCTTTTATGATGTCTCTGCTTTTTGTTGCAGTCTTACGGAATGTCTTCATCCTTTCCTGTGTACTCATTGTCTGCTCCCTGCTGTTCCCAGTTTTATGGCATCTCTGGATTTACGCAGGAAGTGCAAACTCCAATTTTTATTATGCAATCACATTGACATTCAATGTAGGACAGGTTAGTGAAACAAAATGTTGGGTTTGGGTTAAGTAGCCCTCATGAATTCCTTGAGTCTTAACCATTGTTTTATATTCTGTTATGTTTCATGAATACTTAAAAGTACTATGGTACTAGACATAAAAATGTACATCCTTGGAGTCTTGGCTTTTTTTTATATCCACAAGAAAAGATACTGTAAATCTTTCCAGGGTTAGAGGAGGAGATAAAGAGGATTTCATTTGGTAAAGGGCCCATGTAGATCCTTGCATTTCCCAATGATTAGACCAAATTTAGTAAGTTTATATGTGTTATATTACAATTTTTCTACAGCATGTTTTTTAATATAATTTGTCTAGTTAATGTCCATCTTTCACAATATTTGTCAGTGTTGTTGGATTATATTTTTTGTTTTTGCTTTGTTTCCAAATTATGGGCATCAGCAGAGATGGCCAAGGGGTGTGTGTCCAAATGATGATGTATGTGATGTTATGATCACACAAAGGCCATGACTTACATAGTCTTATGAGTTGCTCTGACTTAAATACATAATCACAGCAATTGCATGATTATGTCATCGCATACATGGTGTAATTTTGGTAACATACGGTTTGCTGCAAATCTTGTTGCCTTAAATCCCTATAACAAATACATTTTATTAGAATTGTGGGAAAAATGGAAAAGCAAAACACAGCATTCTCTTATATGAATATTACTTGCCTGAGAACTTGGTTTTCAGCTTGGCAGATTGGAATGACAGCTGCTTTCTCTGTCATGGCTGGAATTTCCTGACCGCCTTGCCAATTTCCTAGACCCATCTGCTCTTGCACTGCTTAGTAATCATCAGTGTGCAGCTACAGTAGTCCTCTTCATAGTGCTCCCCTATTCTTTAATGGTTGATGATTAGAAAAGGGAGGTGGCACTGCTGCAGGTTATGCGGTTAACACTAACGTTTATTGTAATGAAGTGTGTTGCTACATAAAATCTATATTTTCTACTACAACCGGTCAGTTTTGCTGAGGATCATTTGCAGTGATAGATATGGAACTGAAAATTACAGATGTGGCTATAGTGGATCTGACCTAAGTTGTGCAATTTTGCAGCACATAATTCTGTTGACTGTGATGGAGTTACCCATCTTGTTTTGTTCCTCTTATGCTGAACATTTCAAAGCCTTAATCTACAGTTTTAGTGGAAATGTCAGCTTGTAGATTAAACCATCTGTTCATAGCTCCATCTGTTCACTTTAAGGATCTATTTTGTTACTCCAAATTTCTCTTCATGTCTTGTTTTAGTCCTATAAACTCAGCAGTTGAACCTCTATTTTTTGTTGATCTCCCACTAATTTCAAAAAAATTCTTACAATATTGACTGTGGATTTTCTGTCCCCTATAACTGATTGGCACATTTCAACATATATCATAAAGGGAGCATTGCTCTGAGGCTCAGGTTGTTATTGGCAATGAGCTTTCTTGGGCTTGCAAAGGGAAAAAAATCCCTGATATCTTACAGAAATAGTCCATTGCAGCGGTTCTCAAACTTTTCATTATGTGGATCACTACATTGTCATCAGATACTTTGTCTGAACCACTATATTAGCATATGCAGAACTTGTTTTCACTAGCTCCTATTAATAAAATTAATTTAAAAATATAAATTGAAAATGTCCCAAACCCTGGGAGGATCAAAATTTTGAAGATTTTGAGTGACAATACCAAATTATCACATGATTTTACACAAGAATGTTAAGATCTCAGAACATTTGACAATCTTGCAAGATGTTGGTCATTTAAAAAAATTTTTTTTTTTATTTTGGCATCTATACTATAGAGTATCTGCAGCACCCATATGGGTCATCAGTGGTCCATAGGTTGCTCTGTAGAATACAAACTGACATGATTGATCTATACAAAGTCATATTGTTATATGCAGAACTGGACAAGATCTTTAAGACACCAATATATAGCTGCTTTACTCCTTCCTTTGCACAAGTGAGTAAAGAAGGCAGGAATCACAGTTAACCATGTATTCTTGTTAACATTCATATCCAAAACTGCAATTCATAGCTTCCCAACAAATGATGATTCAGAAATCAACTGTAAATCAAGGCTTCATATTCTGACTAATTTAGAAGCCATGAATTACAGTTTCTTAGTTTAGATCTAATGTTTTATCAGGATCCTCAAAGCCAGAAATCTAATTCTCTTTCAGATTTCCTTGCCAAACATAAGGGAGTCAGAGAGCAAAAGGAGGAGGGAAAGTGTATTGGGAGGACATGAATGGGGCATTGTGCATAGTCGCTGTCCCCAGTTCCCCTGTGCTCAAAAAAATGTATCTGTTGAACAAAACAAAACTGTTGCACTTTTTCTGATTCACCAAGGGTTAAAAGTAAGCCAGCCATTAAACATAAAGAATTAATAAGAAGACTGAAAGGAAAATATGGATCACTGGAGTAATTAGCAACCAAAAGTGAGAGAACTTGCTAAACCACAGGATGCAATGGTAATGGGCTGGGTGAGGGGACAATGAAATATTTACAATTCACTCTGGTCCATGTCTAGATAGAAATACATTCTGCTGAGTTGAAAAGGTCTTATTCTCGAGTTAAGTGAGATTATGTGCTATTTAGGTTAGGTTATAATGCTGAAAATCAAGACTAAATAAAATTAGTTGTAAAGAACCCACAAATGAACAGAAATTACCATGGAACATTACATGCAGAATATGCCCATTAATTTCTTGGAAAGCAAAATATTTCAGTATTTCCTATTTTGCAGAATAGTGGAATTACCGCTTTTATCGTAATAATTTCACTCAGTTTCGGTTTGTGAAAGTATTTTCAGGCCTTTGTAAACATCTTTAAGGGCAAACATATTAGTCTGTTGCAGCAAAATCATTAAGACTCTTGTGGCATCTTAAAAGGTAACAAATGTATTATTGGCATAAAGATTTATTAGTCCACTTTTATTATGAAATTAACTGTGGTCTTCAAAAGCTTTCTGTTGTTTTTATATATAGAATGCAACATAGATCTTAAATTTTTGTTGAATATTTAGTTGAATATCACTCATTGAGATGTATTTATATACATTGGTACTTAAAAGTTTGTGAACCCTTTTGAATTTTCAATAATTCTGCATAAATATGACCTAAAACATGAGCTATTCTCCACACAAGTGCTGAAACTAGATACTGTAAAGAGAACCCAATTAAACAATGAATCAAAAACATTGTACTTGTTCATTTTTTTACTGAGGAAAATGATCTAAAGCTACATAATTGTGTGTGGCAAAAGTATGTGAAGTTTTGCTTTCAGTAACTGGTGCTTCCCTTGGGCAGCAATAACTGTAACTAAACATTTCTGATAACTGTTGATCAGTCCTGCACATTGGCTTGGAGGAATTTGAGTCCATTCCTCCTTAACAGAACAGCTTCAATTCAGGGATGTTGATAGGCTTCCTCGCATGAACTGCCTGCTTCAGATCCTTCCACAACATTTTTATAGGATTAAGGTCAGGACTTTGACTTGGTCATTCCAAAACATTAACTTTCTTCTGCTTAACCATTCTTTGGTTGTATGACTTGTGTGTTTTGGGTCATTGTCTTGCTGCGTGACCCATTTTCTCTTGAGCTTCAGTTCATGGACAGATTCCCTGACATTTTGCTTTAGAATTTGCTGGTAGAACTCATAGTTCCATCAATTTGTCAGAACCTGCAGCAATCAAAATATTAATCAACTAGAGGCCTGTTTTATTAGAGTAGTCAATGTCTGTTTTGCTTGCTTTGTTTCTGCCATTCTTAATGGGGGGGGGGGAGTGAAAGAAGACAGAGCCGGTGCAGTGTCGAAGGCCAGGAAGACGAAGTGTTATCGGGGTTAAGAATATACAAGGTCGCACTGCTGTGAGAACCAAAGTTGGTGCCTAGAATGAGGGGGGAGTACAAGGGGTAAAAGTAGAGGGAAAAAGATGTGGGCTTTAGTTTTAGCAATGCTTTGCTTAGAGTTGCATGTATGTTCCAATAAATGAATTTCTTTTTGAACTTAACACGAGTTTCAAGAGATTTTTCTTTGTTGGGATTTGAACATTGTAGACCTGACACAATTATGGCAAGCCATCCTGGTGCAGAGGTAGCAAACCAGGCCCAAACCAGTTCTATTGTGGCCTCATCTGTCCACAGAGCATTCTTCCAATAGCCTTCTGGCTTACCCACGTGGTCTTTCACAAACTGTAGACAGGCAGCAGTGTTCTTCTTGGAGAGTAGTGGCTCTCTCCTTGCAACCCTGCTATGCACACCATTGTTGTTCAGGATTCTCCTGATGGTGGTCTCATGACCACTGACATTTGCCAATGCAAGAGAGGCCTTTAGTTCCTTAGATGTTACCTGGGATTTTTTGAGACCTCCCAGAGTGTTACATGCCTTGCTTTTGGTGTGAATTTGGTTGGTCAACCCCTCCTAGGGAGGGTAACAATGGATAATCCTAGAGGTTCACATATTTGCCACACAGAAATATGTAGGTTTGGAACATTTTCCTCAATAAATAAAAAAACAGGCACAATGTTTTTGACTCATTTGTTTAATTTGGTTCTCTTTATCTTGTTTTAGGACTTGTGTGGAGAACAGATCACGTTTTAGGTCATATTTATGCAGAAATACTGAAAATCAAAAGGGTTCACAAACTTTAAAGCACCACTGTAAATTGGTACTACTTTTGGTGACCTTCAGGTAGAGTGGTCTGTGTGGGCCAGGTTTTGGGGTATTAATTGGAAGAGGAAGAATTAGATAAAGCACAGAGCCCTAGGGCTTCATTCAAGCCCTAGGACTTGATTCAAATTTATTTTTGAGAAATATGTTGTTCTACCGTGTGTGCAAAGAAATATAGGATCCAAGAGACTGATATCTATTTTCCTTTATACCCTTTGGTAATGGCAGGTAGCTATGAATTGGCTGCATTTTCCTCTGGAAGGAGAAAACTGCAGATGTCAGAGGGATTCCAAAAGGGAGAGTTTTAATGAGAACGAATTTGGTGCCAGTCCTGCCTATAATATAGATCAGTGTTTCTCAACCTTGGCAACTTTAAGATGTGTGGACTTCAACACCCAGAATTCCCCA